GCCTTCTCTTCAGTCTCACTGATTCTGTGTTCCCATTGATTCAGTTTTACACCTCTGTCCTTCTAATGCATTATATATTTTTGAAATTTTCATATTAATATTCTGGATTTCTTTTTTTGTTTTTGCATGGCTTCTCATTTTCAATTTGTTCTTTTTTATTATTATTATTTTAATTCTTGCAGAATTTTGTCTGTGTTTCCCTTGATTTTGTTTATGGTTTCCTCAAACTTTTTATAATCCATTGAAAGTACCTAAATATAATTCTTTTGAATTCCTTATTGGGTAAGTCCACTAGCATTTCTTCCTACAAGAAGATGTTCTGCCCTGTATTTTGATCATTTGTTTGAGCCATCTTGTCCTGTTTTTTTTGTTGTTGTTGTTATTGAAGTTGTTTGTTGTCTCTGAGCATTATAGTCTTACTGTATTTTTTTTATTATTTATTGGTTTGCTTCACCCTAAGTTTGGGTTTTGTTCAGTTTTAATGTAAGTGCGCATATTACTTTGGCTTCTAGTTTCGCAGCACTGGGGTGGTCACAGCCTGTCTCTGGGTGGAATTTATAGCAGGTGGGAGTGTAGTTATGAGTCTCTGATCACTGATTGTACAGAGCTGCTGAGGGCAGTGTGGGCATGTACTGGCCACCATCTGTCATCAGTCCAGAAGTACTGGAGTGGGTGGTGGCACTTGCCCAGTGGATGTGGCAGCAGGTGTGAATGGGCATGGCTCGGTAGAGTCACTGGCTCCTAACTTCTGGGGAAAAGTAAAAAAAAAGAGAGTGAGAAAACTACAAAAGAGGAAAATAAAAAGTAATGGGGGAAGAGAGACCTAAGAAGAAAAAAAGGGAATAAAGGAAAATTAAAAAGTAAAATATAACAAATATAGCACAGTATTGGCGCAAGTGATAGCCACCAGACACAACTGTGGTGGAAATCTATCACTTTTTCCGTGGGAGCCAGTGGCACTGAATATGGAGGGTTAGGGGGTGGCACCACTGGATACAGAATTGGTAGTGTGCAAGGTACTTGCTCAGCTGGATCAAAAGAAAGGAAAAATAAAAAGGACAAAAAGGTGTAGGGGGAAAGTTGACAAAAAATGAGTGGAGTAAGGGTGAAAGAAGGAAGAACTGGGAAGAAGAGAAGTTAAAAAAAGAAAGAAACAAGTACAAGTGTTAGCTGCCAAACACAGCTGCTGCATCATGAACACAGACCTCACTCTGAAAGAGCTCACACCACCAGTGATCCATGGAAAGGGAGGATGGGCACTGCTGACCATTGGAAGGGGTGGCAGCAAAAAGGGAAAAAAATAAAAGGAGGTGAAGAGAAAGAAGCAAAGGAGTACAAAGGGGAGATGAGGGAAGATGGAATAAAGGAAGAAAGAAAAAAAGCAGTACAGTACTGTAAATAGTGTCAGCCAGCAAACATGGCTGTGCAGGAATGCAGTGCTCACTCCATCAGAGCATACACCTCTGACCAGGGAAGGGCTCCTGCTCTTTGGGAAAGAGAGAAGAACTGAGCAGAAGAATAAAAGTAAAAATGAAAGTGGCACAGCACTGGCAGTGGCGGGAGTTTGACCAGCTGCCGAGTGGGTGGGGGTAGGGAGGTGCACAGCTAGTCACTGGGAAGTTATGAATGGTAAGAAGGGGAAGACACAACTTTATGGTCACCTGTCACCAATGTGTTTCCTGGTGCAGTCCTGAGCAAATGGAGCCAGTTATCTGGTTCCTGCTCTCATCAGATTACTGCTTGCAGTGATGAAAAATGGCTACACTGCCGATTGGCAGTTTACCTCTCCTTGTTCACTGTTTTTATTCAGTTTCTTCCTCTGATCAGTATTTGATCTACTTCTTTATCCTTCCCTTTGAAGTTCTAGAATCTAGAATTGTCATCTATACCCATTTCCCTTGTTTTTTCGAATCTTTGTTGTAGAGGATCTAGATAGTATATCTGTCTATTCTGCCACCTTGGAACCTAAGTAATAAATTATTTTTACATATCTGAAGTTCCAGGCATTTATTCACATTGCAAATGTTCAGATCATCATCACAAAGGAATATAACTAAACCTATTAAGGCAAACATATAAAAGTGTAGTCAGCCTGAAATAACCTGCCAAAATGAAAGTTACTGTAAATTTAGTATCCCTCCTTTTTGTTTCAAGGAGCCATGGTTACACAGTGGTTAAGTGCTCACCTGCTAACCAAAAGCTTGATAGTTCAAGCCTACCAGCTGCTCTGCGGGAGAAAAATATGGCAGTCTGCTTCCATAAAGATGTATAGCCTTGGAAATCCCGTGGGACTGTTCTACTCTTTCCTTTAGGGTTTCTATGAGCTGGAATTGATTCCATGGCAATGAGTTTTCTCATTTGTTTAGCTGTAGCACTGATGAATTCTTATAAATGGAGTCTGTCTTAAGAAGTACATGGAATTGGAGAAGATCCATGATTATAATTATGTGAAGAAGAAAGAGACAAATAACAAGCACTCACCTTCCATTTCCCATATCCTGATGGGAAAGCTTAATATAAAGAATTATTAAATATAACAAGATTGGAGTAATGATCAATTACTTTATTACAAATAAAAATAACTCTAAAGAATATAAGAAAAGCACATATAAGGAGTAGATTCCATCCTTAAAGCTAAAGTAGAGCATCCAAGAAAAATCCCTCACCCCAGCATCTGAGATCCAAACCCTGATGAAGTTGGCACAGCTGCGGTTACTAGATGGCAAAGAACTCATTGTGGTGCCACACTGGCAAAACTTGCTGGAAATCTGCTTTCTAGGGACCACAGAAAGCTATGTCTAACCAGAGCACTCTGCTACAAATCACACAAGCTATTAGGTGCTGCTGTCCTCATGCATTGCAAGAACCTGAAGCCTGAGAAGCTGTGTACACTGCAGAAGCCTATTAAGCAAGCACACCAGGATCAGAAGAAAAGCCCTTTTCTTCTTGCATTGTCTCACCAGCAGCCTCTCTGTATAAAGCTTAACCATCATGCCAGCTGTCGGAAGAGAACACATATTTACAGGCCTAAATCCATTTTCATGGAGGTGACAAACATAGTGAATTTGAATCTGAGAAGCAGTAAATTGATCACTGACTGGCACAGTCCACCCCTTTGATTACTTGGCTTCCATATACACCTTTCTATACTTGATCTCCCAGCCAACAGTAAAATAGCTATAATTCTGCCTAACAAGATACAGATATTCTCACAAGTGAAGTTTTCATCATTTCCCCAGAATGAGCAGATGCAGAGTCATTGTAATGTCATTGGCTTTATTAATACTGCACAGATTTCAACACAGTCTCACAGAATATTCTTTTATCTAAAGACTTAATTGTAAAGGTACTTCCAATAACTGGTATATAAAATAAAAATGAAAAAAAGTGAAAAGAAACAAATGGTTAGCATATACAACAATAACATATCTAAAGTCAGTCTTTATTTTAAATGTTATTAGATATGTTACTGTTAAGTGCTGTCAAGTCAGCTCCTACTTACGGCGATACTGTGTATAACAGAGCAATGCACTGACTAGTCCTGCACCATCCTCATAATATGATGAAAGCTTTTGCTTTCTCTTTTTTCAGTCCTGATTTTGATTTAGCCTTGGCCTTATTCTGTTTTGTAAAGCATCTCAAATCCATTTTGGAAAGACATAGTTTGCTGTAATATCTACGGTAGGGACTGAGGAATATTAAAAAAATTGTTTGTCAACCAAGACAAACGCAGTGTTACACAATTTTAACTCTCAGGCAGAATTCTCCTGCTACAGGGGTGGCTCCACTTTGAAAGGTGCCATGTCTCTTTTCAGTTTTTGCATGTAAACTAGATTAATGCTAAGGTCTTTCAAAGATCTGTGGTCCTATAATGCTGTAATTAGGATATAATATTGTGGTATTGTTGTCGTTATGTGCCGTTGAGTCAGACCCGACTCATAGCGACCCCTGCTTGGGTTTCTGAGGCAGTGTATCACTATGGAAGTAGATCGCCCCATCTTCCTTCCAAGGAGTGGCTGGTGGGTTTGAACCTCCAGCCTTCTGGTTAGCAGTCAAGTGCCTTAGGCACTATGCTACTAGAGCTCCTAACAAGTAATTATTAAACTGTGCAAGTCTGTTTATTTGCATATAGAAGCAATTCTGAAGGAAGATATGAGTATGGTCTGGGACCACTGGCATAGATTTCATGGAAGAGATGAGATTTACCCAGGCCCTGAGGAACTGATAGGATTCAAATAGACAGCAAAAGTTAGGCACATGAAGTAACATGTGCATGAAGAATATACAGTTGTATGAGTGACAGGCAGGAAGATTTAAGTCTACATGCAATTCTAATCTGTTTGGAGCCAGACAGGCTAATTAAGCCAGAAAGGATGAGGGTGACTCATGATCTGATGTTCTCTCCATCCTTGTTAGAACAGTAACTTTAGACACACATTTGAAGCCCTCAATTAAGTCCACAACCCATACAACTGAGTAGTACCTGTGAGCTGATAATGTGAGTGTGCTGACCTTATGCCAGCCAGAGATAAAGCCAGTCAGGAATGTATCTTTCGCTTCCTTACCTTGAGCATCTGGTAACCACAGCCACATTTTGTCTTTCTTCAGGTGAAACTTATCCAGAGGGTTTCTGTTTTCTTTGCTTCCTTTCATTTTACAGATTCTACACCAAAACTGATCAGTGGAGAGGGGTAACCAACCACTCCTGTGAAAATATAAATATGATGGGGAAGGAGATGATTGTTAAGCCGAGACAGTCTTTTGTTATACCTGTGAAAAGTAGGATTTTTTTTTTTTAAGTGTGTTTTTAATGTTTTGGTTGGGTAGCGGTGGTAGTTTGAGTGGTGGTTCCTTTGGAAGGGAGCAAGGTACTGAAGCAGGGGAAGCTTAACAGGAAGAGAGTAATGCTAGATAGAACTCTGGCTGATAACTTTAAAAATGTTATGTTTTCTATTACTGTTTTAAAATGTTTTCTACAAGGAACTCTTTTCTTTTTTTAGACTGCCTTGGCACACTTAGAGTCTCTTGCAGTGGATGTTGAGGTGGCCAATCCACCAGCCAGTAAGGAGAGCATTGATGGTCTTCCAGAGACCCTTGTTCTTGAAGATCACACTGGTAAGGACAGACTTGATCATAAATGTCAAATGACACATTGCATGTTGAAGTAGATTGTCAGTGTACCTAGAAGATGAAATGCTGACTATTAGATACTTATATTAGATTTTCTATGGCAACTAAATTCTGACAAACTCTTACCTAGTAGAATAATATTTGTAATTTGTCAGTTAACAGGCTTGAACAAATGTTCGTTACCGAGTCCACTCTTCTACAAAAGCAGTACTTACTAAATTCCAACCAGTGATGTTTTGGATAGAAGCTAACTTTCAGTTCATTGATCAAAGTCTGGTTTTGTTGCTTTCATAATATTGTCTACAAGTTAATACATTGATTTTCAATTTTATTAAAATTGAACTTTGTGTGACTGATAGATCTAAATTATGCATTGTTTTCAGCTATTGGTCAGGAGCAGTGTTGTCCAATCTGTTGTAGTGAGTATATAAAGGATGACATAGCAACAGAGTTACCCTGTCACCATTTCTTTCACAAGCCTTGTGTATCAATTTGGCTACAGAAGGTGAGTTTTAGATTTATTTTTTAATTAATATTTTAATAGTTTTTCCTACAAGTTAATGATATTAGTATCTCTTAACTCTGTTTAGCTACCGAATTATATTACTTTTAAAATTAGTGTTAAAAATTTATTGTCATTTAATGATTACAGATTAATTATAATATGGAAGTATTTTACTAAATTTTCTAAAAGACAGTGTAGACACAGTTACTGTTTACTATATTATTCTAGAAAAGCATGTTAGGAAAAAGTCAATTAAACTTCTAATCATAACCCTGAAATTTTTGTTTTCAGAAGTTTCTAAAGCAAAGATATCTACGGCACTACTCAGAGTACTGTAACAGTGTACAATATTCCACTAATATGCATCAGTGTCCCTGAAAGTGTATATGAGAAGATTAATATTCAGAAGGAATATTTTCCTTAATACTCTCCATAAATGTTTGCTCAATCTCAGTTTACATTTACTATCAAGATACTGTTACTTAGGTTAAATTTCTATCCATAATTCATTTTGTATCATTGTTTGTACTCCTTACATTATTTGGTAGAACACACATCTAGCTATTTAATAACCTACCAAGTATCTCCTATTCCAGTTATTATATACTATCCTTAAATATTTACCCAGTAATTTTTAAAGATATTTGGATATTTTACTAAAATCTTCTCTAGAAGTCTGTATTTGCACAGAAGATATTTGTATCCAGTTCAGAAGGAAATACCAAATCACTTTCCCAGTTTATTTACTTATGGATGTAGCTCCCTCCCTTCTCTGCATCCCTTCCCTTTCTTCCTCTCATCCCTCTTTTTTTTCTTTTTCCTTTCTTTGCTTTTTTCCCCATCTGCTGCTACTTCATTCTTCTCAAAACTCTTATTTAAAAACTGAAATCCAATGCAGAAATGTTCACAGTTCCTTCCTCAAATCAATACATTTTTGGTTGCTGATACCAGCTTCCACTTCGTGTCTGTGTGCATCTTCAGTTTGTATGTTAGTTTTATATCCTACTTTTACAAAGCATTACTTGCATATTTTTCTATTTGTTACCGTCTTTTTTTCCTTACTTCCCAATTCCCTGTTTTTCCCTACTCCTTCTTATAACCCTCCCTGTCTCATAACCAATATTCACATCAAAGTGTATACAGCTACATTTTTTACCAGCTAATTAAACTCTAAACTAACACAAGATTGGAGCTTTAGAATGATTTTTAATAGAGTTGTATTTTTTCCAGAATTTTCATATTGATTCTTGGACAGGTTTTTCCTATTTGAACTTTAAAATATCTATTCTCTCCTGTAAAAGAATCCTTTGGAGTATTATAATTGTAATTATATTAAATTTATGTATTATTTTTTAGAAGGTTTCTCTGGAGTACTTTGAGAATTAGATTGGTGTAACACATAAAAATGTTTGCGATACAATCTATTTGAGTGAAAAAAAATTTTTTTTTAATTGGTGTGCTAGATTATTATTGCTTATTTTATTTCATTTTTCTTCTTAACTTTATATGACTTGTAAAATGGTTTTGAATATAATATCGACAATGGTGTAATGTTGTGAGGACTAAATGGGATAACTCATAATGCCTGACAGGTGGTAAGCAAGCACTCGGTGAATATTAAAAAATCAGATCAGATCAAAACTATTATTATAAATTAGATATTTTTATCTTTTCAAAAGCAAAACCACAAATACATATTTAAGTTATGATACAAGTTGCAAAGATCAGCCACAATCTTTGAATAAACATATACTGACAAGATTGGTACTTGTTGAATATTGCCTATGTGGAAATCGTGTGTCTCAAGTCTCATGAGCCTTTTGAACACTGTGGACTTAGTTATAATCAAGAGTCTGAATTATTTTTTACATAGTACTTTCTGTGACCTCTCTTCCCCACTGCCCCAATAACATAATTGGGGAAATAGTACTCTAGATAGTTATTCTGAACTTACCTTGTTTATTTGGCATTGTGTACTATACAATGTACCCTACCTCTAGGGCTTTATAAGGGTTGAAGTAGATAAATTAAATAATAGATTTAGTATAGTGCCTGGCCCATACTAAACACACTGCAGGAAAGTAGCAGTAAGTTAATAGTAATTAAAATTAGAATTCAGTGGAAAAGAACTTCCACTACCTCTACATGGTGGTGGTGGTGTAGAGCAGTAGCGATAAAGATAATCGATTTTAAAAGTAGTGGGCATGCAGAAAATGCATAGCTACCAAGTCTTACAGTTTTGTGTATACTTGTTACGGTCAGGTCCGTTCCTTCTTTTCATTTCCACTCCTTTACAGCAGACCTTTATTCCTTCGTGGCCTTAACTACTGTAGTAGTTACCAGCCTCATTTTCTTGCTTCCAGTAGAGGTATTTTTCTAAAATATAACTCTGATTGTATTACTTTCCATCTCAAAAGGAGAGGCAGGCAGGCAGGCAGACAGACTTCCAGTGATCTATGAAATAGTGGACAGTTTCCATCTTGGCTTTCAAGGTCTTCTGTGATCTAACCCCCAGCCAGCCTCCCTGGGTTTACTCTTCTGAACATTTATTCAGGTTTGCTTAGCCTGGCATGATCCTCCCCCCATACTTGACCCAATACCACCTATAAGATTAGATCATCTAGGTAGATCCAGTTTAAATTCTGTCTTTAATATCCCCTTTCGTTAAACTCCTATGGCAACATCAGGGGCTTACAGAACCAGTTTTTGTGTACCTGCTTGCGCGAAAGACACTGTACTTTGTGTTTCATGCACATTTTTCCATTTAATCCTCACATTAACTCTAGGATATATTGCTATCATTTTCTAGTGATGTTATTTGTCCAAGATTACACAGCTAATATAACCTTGGTTGAGATCAAACTTCCTTTGATTCTAAAAATGTTGCTGTTAGGGCCCAATCTATATAGTAAGTGCATAGCAGATGTTTGCTGAATTAAATTCTTGAACTGTAAACATCATATATTGTACAGCCTTGAGTTGTAATTGACTTTGCTATAACCAAGGGTAAACTCTTGAGTTTCTTTCTGTCAGGAAACAGCTTACTATAAAGCCTTGCCTGGTTCCTCTGGGAAGAGAGTTCCTAGGATACAAACAGCATAATCTCTTCAATGTCCCTTCTATTGTGAACATCATTTTGGGAAATATAGCAGATTTTCAGTGTAATAAGCTATTACCAGATTATCTCTCTCCAGTCTCCCATTGGTCCTAAAATGTACCCTCAGTATAACTATTTCCCTCCCAGGTTTATGGTTGATTTGTTTTGTTATTTAGAAGGTACCTAACTCTCCTTTTTTTTTTTTTTTTTGAGAGGGTACTTGGCATATAAAGAAAGTCTGAGATGCAGCTGCTCTGACATGTCTGTGCTACACTAAAGGGAGGCTTTATCTATATGAATAAGGTCTGGGGAAATGATTTGATAAGTACATGAATTAATTAGGTTTGTGACATCATATGGAGTCTGGGTGGCACATGCAGTTTGTGATCAGCTGCTAACCTAAAGGTTGGCAGTTCAAACCCACCCAGGAGCTTCAGTTCAGGTAATTGTCGAACTAAACAGTAACCTCTGTGAAGACATGTGGCATAACTTTTCTCAGCCTCTGCTGCAGCTCCAGCCAGCGCAGAGTGCAGAGCAGAGAAGGCTCTTCATTAATAGTCATTCAGTGGAAGGTGAATGACTTGAAATGTACAGACATGATTAAGAGACACTGTTTACCCTCAGCGAACATGGAGTCTGATTAGGGTGAGGGGAGATAGCATAAACTTTTTGTCTTTCTGTGTAGCAAGGATTAGAAGTTTATTTGGCTTTCTTTTTAAATTATTGGATTTGCTTTCAGGATAAAACAGTTTATTTTCTGTATTAAGATTCTTGGGTCATTGCAGTGTTTCTGTTGGCTTTTAATCTGCTGAGTTTCTTTTGTCCCTCCAGTCAGGAACATGCCCTGTGTGCCGCCGTCATTTCCCACCTGCAGTTCTCGAAGCCTCGGCAGCTGCTGCTTCTGAGCCTGATCACGATTCCCCACCTTCAAATGACAGCACTGCAGAAGCCTCCTAAACCTGAACAGCTGAAGAGATCAACCAGTCTATCAAAGTAGAGCTGCAAATTCCTTCTGAATCTGATGTGCAAATACTTATATATAAATATATTTAAAATGCTTTATATAGTATATGCCATAGTTTAGAAAGAGGATAGTAACCTTTCTAAACTGAATTTAGGTTTGCGGAAAATACTAAACATTTTCAAGCTGAATGTTGAAACAGTGCGTTTTCTTTAGTTGAAGATGTTGATATTAATTGTAAAGTCAAGTTTATCAGTTAACTCTCTTCGGAAGAAATAATCACCTATGTGGCACATATTATTGGTTTTGTCTAAAGCACTGCCACTAAGTGATTATGAATAAGCTCTCCTATTTGCATCAAATGACTTTGTGATCACAAGAACAGTAGACTTTGGTTTCATTGGAAATAAAAAGAATTCTAAAGCATGCTTTCCATGGTCCCTTTGCTTTTGCTATATCAGAACCTCTTGGTTCATAATACTGAGTGTTTGTTTTGTTTTAAGAAAGGAATCATTCATCTTTGTTTAAAATTGAGACTTTTTAGAGGCTAAAATTCTGGCCAGAACATCACAAAATTTTTAAATCTTAGCTATAATTCCCCTGAAATGGTCAGGCGATAAAATAAATTAGTAAATATGTAGATGTACCTTAATGACTAATGCTGAAAACAGGTTAGTACAGCATTGGAAGAATCTTGTATGCTCATTGCCTAATACAGTGAAATAAATTAGATGGCCTTAGGAAATTTTTCCTAAGCTCTTACTCAGCCTGTTTCTACTTGGTTAAAATGATAGGTAAGGTCCAGAACACTCAGGCAGTTTGTTTAGTAAATATCAGATAGAGTTAGTTTAGTATAATTTGTATTTAGAGATATTTTTTAAGGCCTAAAAACATGCATAAAATACTCAGACACTGATTGTGTTGTATTCTGAAGGAAAATTGGAATCCTTAAAAAACTAGATGGTTAATTGTTCTAACTTTTATGAAGCATAAAATAGATGGGAGTACAGGAGAGATTGGGCCCCAGTTGTTTACGGTGTGTCTAAACTTTGCTCTCTTATAATCTATACCTTTAAAGTATCACTAGATAAGGATTATTCATATTACATTTCTAGAATTTTTTCCTTTACATTAATTCATTTTGGCAAAATTATTCATCTGGAGCTAAAATAAAAATAGGTATTTTCGAATTAAATTAAACCATGAGTTTTAAAAGGGAATAGGTGATGAGATGATTGACTAGGGGCCAAATGAACAGACCTGAACATGTAACGATTCCTTTTTCTTTTTCTAAAGGAGAAAAGATGGGTCAGAACCCAGATTGACCCTGTAGAAGAACTTGCACAAACTTGTACAAAAGTGAGGAAATCAACTTTCCTTATTTTTCAGTGGGAAGTTCGACCCAGATGATCACCTTTGTAATTTCGTAAATGGCACAGCTTTTTCTTTAGGTGGTCACACACAGTAGGCAAGTCTGTACACAAGTGGCATAATGCTTGCCTTGCACTCTAGTGTAAGTTGTAAACACTAGAGATTGATGGGTGTTTAAACACATTTGAGCAAGTCTAAAGTAGTAAGGTACCCATGTATATCCATCCAGATATTATATTGATAGTTTAGTTTGGACACAGGAATATATATATGACTTTCCAAATGCAGAATTGCATTTGATTTGTGTAATTGCTCTGGTTATATTCTACCCCTATTTTCCATTCTTAAAAATAAGTGAATTTTCACTGTTGGCACATTGGAGGCTTAAATACAAGGAACATAACACTTGCGTTCTAATTTGTGCATATATTGTAAATGTGTCTGGTATTTACAAAAAAATACTGTGTATCCTTTTATGGGTAAAACAAAACTGAACATTGCATGCATGTAATGTGGTGAATTTGTAATTTAGGGATTCTTTGGGGCTTCTGTGACTTTGGGGATGCTTACATTCAGGCCTTAACGTTGCATTAGCTAGCATGTTTTCCTTCTGCTGTATATAGTTACTGTTGTATAAACTAATCTTTGCTTGTTTTCTACTCTGTGATCTTTCCATACCATATTTCATTAATAATCAGTTAGTGTCAAGGAGTCAAATCAGATTAAAATTCTCTTGTGTATATTGTGGAAATTTGTGGCTAGTGTAATTTTTTTGTTTGTTTTCTTTCAAGTAATATTGATCAGTTGTGACACATACTGGTTAAACTGACATTTCTACTGATTCCTCTGTTTGTAATAAGCCACACATTATGTTTAGGCGGTATTAAGGGACTTGGTTTTCTTATCATAGCAGCTGTCCCAAAGGAAATATTTCTTCTTTGCCTGTTAAAATTTAGCTGTTTTCTGCCAGGTGTTAAAAGGTTTTGGTTCCAAACTCAACCAGTAGTGTGTACTTTTTGCTTTCTATCATTACTGTCCTTCCTTCTTGGTTCCCTGCTATCTAGCAACAGCTGCTATGAAGGAGAAAAGTTGAATAAGAGTTAGCTTAAATTTATTTTTTACAAAAGGAAATAAAATTGAAGTTTTAAGGTTGTTGTGATAACTAGCTGATACAAACTAAAGTTGACAAGTTCAGACACCAAAATATAATTTAATTGTATCTTGGATCATTTTGAAAAAGTTGAGATTATATTAAAGGAAATTAGAAATAAGTATGAATATTAATTAAAATATCATTTCTCTTATTCTTGTTATATGTTATGTGACTTAGCCTAATTATTTTTTTTAAAATACTTTATTTCTTATGAGTGCTGATATTTAAGGTAGATCCATGTGGACTTTTTTTTTTTGGTTTCTTAATTGTTTATCTTTAAACTAACTAACTCTTCAAGATTATTTGTGATCTGGATTTATATATAAGCTATTAAATATATATGAACTGTTCAAATGGAATGCAAGTTTTTCAAAAGCCCAGATCTAAATGTAATGATTGGTTTATTGTTCTACAATCTCAACCCATCATTTTCCGTGTAAGTCATAAACAATAAACAGGATATACTCAGTGGTCATTTCTTATATTTAATTGTACAATACAATCATATCACCTTTATAATGTAACACAAAGGATTTAGAGTTAATGGCAAAGAACACAGCTAGAATAAGCTCCTGAGCACATGATTGTATAGTCCTTGAGCTGAGATCTGAGAAGGCCCTACAGAGAGCCAGCCATGCAGAAGTGATTGGTGAGGTTCTTGCTACTGGAAAGGGTCTGAAGGAGTAGTCCCTATGCTTTCCAGGATTGGTAGCAATCCTGTAGGTTTCAGCAGAGCCTGGTTTCCACACTGGTTCAGAAGGTCAGAGTTCAAGGAGACTGCCTCTTCTCATTGGCTCCCTTCAAATTAGGCATGGGCCTGTTATTAAATCTACTTGTTCAGAAAGATTATGCTTGGTTTCCAAAGGGTTCAAAGACCTCACCCATTTCAGAAGGGTCAATTGGATGCTAATAGGTTATGCTTGGGTTAAATTAGAAAGCTAATTAATTAATTTGTTTAGAAACTTTAGAAAGTTTAGACTTCTGATTCTCCCTTGATACAACAAATGTGTGCTGGAAAGATAAAGTCTCAGAGGCTCAGTGATATACCTCATCTCTAATGCCAAAATTCTATAATCATTGTGTCTTAGAATTTTCACCCAGTCAGAACTTCTGGAATTGGAGTTCTCAGGACTCCGGCAAGGAATGGATTTAACTCTTGGAAGAATATCATCCACTTTTCCTATAAATTGTACTTGGGTGACAGAACTAGACAGAAAAAGGCCTCTTCTGTGTTACCACCTTTGCATGTCCTCCCTCAGCTTTGCACTTTCCTTCTATTCCAGATCATAATGGGGTTGAAATACAGATCCTCTACAGACTGCCTTCCAGGTGACTTAGATCTCAGTACTTTTTGGAGCAACTACCCATGTTCTTCATTACATTCATGTTTCTTAATCTTCCCTGAAAGGCCACCACAAGAAATTTTGTCATGTTTTGTAGACAGACATGTTGCCCCTGCAAGTAGCTTAATCTGGTAGTATATTAAATAGAAGGAAATGAAATTAGCTGGAAATGACTCATTCTTAGTGAAATCATACTGCCTTTTCTGACTACTCATATGCTATTTGTTTAATAATCTGTTCTGGAGTTTGATAAGTGATCAATGTCAAGTTCATTTTTAGTGTTTGGAATCTACTTTTTCCCTGTAAAATTGGGATAGATAATTGAAGTAGCATGGCAATGACAAGTCATTTAATCTGTTTCTGTTTTCTCTATAAAGTAGTGGGTCTAAATTATGGGTTCAGTACTGTTGTTTGTGCATGGATGTTTGAAAAAAATTCTTGGTTGATATGCAGAATCATGGGGAAATGTGTCATGCTTGGTTTCCATCATAGTTTCTTTACAGTTTTTAGCATTACTTTTTAGAAAACAGTGAACATTTCAGATTAAAATCTTAAAAGCATCCTGATCACCTCTCTGGACTGTAAGAGAAAGAACTTGACTGGGGAACTTTCCTTAATTTCACTAAGAGGCTACAGGCCTAGGTAACAATAAAAAAGATAAAAAGAGTGTGAAATTGAAGGAGAGTAGTTTCTGATATTTCTAGAAAAATAACTATGTCTTAGTCATTAACTCTTAGCAAAAAAATTCTGCTAGCCACTATAGTTTCTTTCTCATTAGAACACATTTTTTCTTAAGATTCATGGGCAAAAAGTGCACTTTTACATCATAAGAATAGTTCCCATTTACTGAGTGCTTACTACGTATTAGGCAATGTGTTAACTGGTTGCCATTGAGTCGATTCTGACTCATGGCAGTCTTGTGTGTGTCAAGAGTAGAACTGTGCTCCATAGGTCTTTCAATGGGTGATTTTTTGGAAGATCACCAGGACTTTATTCTGCAGTGCCTATTAGTGGGCTTGAACTGCCAGCCCTTCAGTTAGTAATGGATTGCTGACCAAAGTTCAAACACCATCCTCATGAGGGAGATTTCTTAGTTACCAATGAGATCTAATGAGAATTTCCTACCTTTTGCAGAGGCTGTCTCTAGCCCGAGGTATGTTGTTGTTATGTGCCATCGAGTCGGACCCGACTCATAGTGACCCCTCCTTGGATTTCCAAGGCAGTTATCACTATGGAAGTAGATTGCCCCATCTTCCTTCCAAGGAGTGGCTGGTGGGTTTGAACCACCAGCCTTCTGGTTAGCAGTCAAGTGCCTAGGCACTATGCTACCAGAGCTCCCGAGGTATATGGAATCCTAAGTAATGCAGACACTTGTCAACAAGTAAGCTGGGCCCCACCCTTTTCCAAAGTCTCTTTATTTCTTCCTTCAAGAAGCACAGAACTTTGCCCTCACAATTACAAACATTCCAAAGAGTGGAGAACATATGCCTAAATTATTGCATCAGTAGGGATAGACACTTCACAGACACTTTCATTTTGCTTTCAGTCCTTAAATGCCATTTTCAATTGTTTCCCAGTTATGTAAATAAACCCAGCCCTAGTTCTTTTTATCCATTTTGTTCCCATTTTCTTTTTAAAAGAATTTACATGTTTGAGGGGCTTCACCACATAACATCATACTGACCAGCCTTTGGCCTCAGTCAATAATTGCCCCTCTTGACTTGTACCAATGATCTCGCAACCCTGGTATTGCAGTATCCTAGATTTGGGTTGGACCAGAATGTCAACTTCAGGCGATGAGAATAGGGATGGGGAGCTTACAAAATCAACCTTCTCTGGAAAGGAAAGGATGGATAGGATGATGGTGAGTCTATTCCCAAGTGAACACTTTGGTTATGATCCACATCTA